AAAGTGATAAAGCATACGTATATACTGTCACAAGTCAATTTCACAACTAAATAAAGTATCACTACCTCCACATCTAGTTTAACAAATCACTACTATTTATTGTCTATGCAAGTTTAATACGAAGTACATTACTATATATGCTGCCTAGCCGCGGTAGATGTGAATCAACAAGTGTTTTGGCCTTAATTAAGACCTCAAAGTTTTATTGCTATTTGCTAATATAATTAAGTGTATTGATATCGTAACACAATAATGTATACTCTCTAATACAGTATATCATGCATGAAGTATACTCCATATAAAAGAGATATACATATACTTGTATTAAGTTTATTAATCTTATTTGAAATACATAATTTTATATCGGCTGTTTTACGAAGCCTATGTTGATATAAAATGATATGAGATGAGAAGTGTTTCTATTTTCTCCTCCCATTTTATTACACACTACATGCATACATAAAATGAAAATAACAACACCAAATAAACATGCACGTAAATAAATTACGTACATACTTGACACATCCTTTTAGCTTATTCATCATGAGTTTCTTGATAAATTTGTGTTCACAAATTTATCAAATTAAACGTAGTATTTGATGGAAGGACTGTATTTTTCAATTTGATCCCAATACCTTGACCAAAGCATCACACCTCCATACTTGGGAGATTTCTTAATAACAGGAAGCACTTGTGACTTTAGTACATCTACCGGAATAAACCCGGTGTTGGCGGCTTTGGGAGACGCAGGCAAGCCTAAGAACACATTTCTTGCTTTGATTGATGTCCAATAATTCCATGTCTTAAAGAAGTTTTTCTTATTCCATGCAGTGTACTCACATGATAAAGGATTGTTAAAGAATCGAACCCAAACGTAGTCGAAAAGGCCAGTGTTTAGGGCAGCATTTAGATGCTTGTCTGGCAAGAGGCATTGAGGAGCTGCACTTAGGTACACCTTTCTTGGAGATTTTGTATTGTAGGCAGCCAAGTAACGCGCCAATAGGTCATAAAGGACTAAAGGGGTATATGTAATATGTAACATTTGATGTATGTAAACTACTATTATGTGAAGTAAAGTATTTGAGTTGTATGTAATAGATTGTATGATTTTTTTTTTTTTTTTTTTTTTTTTTTTACACGGTAAGATACGGGGGTGGCCCTCCACTCCTTGATCCTCTAATAAATTGTACGAATTAGTTGTAATAAAAAAAATAAAAAATAAAAACAAAACAAAATAGTTTTAAAAGTCGTAATTGATTCAATTCAGTAAAAAAAAAAAAAAAAAGTTATAATTCCTTACTATGATTCTTACTTTGTTGATCCACTTTGCATATAAAAGTCGATCCCATCAAGCACAACATTATCAAATGGTCGTGTACGAGAGTAGCCTCCCAAGAAATTGTTCCACAAATAACTTGCTAGGTCTTTAGCTTCCTAGGGAGAGTTCAAGGTGTAATCCGCGCCATTACCACCTATTGAGAGTAAAACCTTTACCCCAATCGATTGACAATACTTGATTTCGTTACTTAGGAATCTGGAACCACCTGTTGATGGATTGCAATGTGTAGCAAGATCTAGCATAGGAGTTCTACCTTTGCCAAACTTACTAAGAAAGGCTATGTTAACATGTGAATATAACTTGGTCGAGCATGCTTGGCTGAGAGTACTCTCACGACCTTGGCCCCAATAGATCGGAATGCTACCCCCAAAGGCGGCATCAATTGCTAGGACTAGGACAAGGAAAGAAACAAACATGATTTTTGTAGTACTCATTTTGCGTATGTGAATTTTTTTTCGTAATATATATGTATATTTCTGTGTCTTGGTACATTTTAAGCTCAATAAGCGATCATATTTATAGAGTTCAAGAATTATGATCGATTAATGGCTTTGTACTCTAAGCAAGCTAAGACACATAAATTATACCAGTATTAAACGATGTGCAATTATACATAGCTTGTAATAAAACACACAGCTACATATTGAAATTTTAGTACTTTGTATGTACATAGACTGAGAAAGGCCAGTACATGAAATCTATGGCTGTAGTTCAAATGTACGGATATTTCATAACCATGCATTTTCAAATACAGCAGCAAATTAAACTGGTTGTGATTGTTAAACTATTCATGTCTTTCCGAAATTTGAATTCAATAATCAATAGCTATAGGCTACTTATTAGCTAGGCTATTAGCTGAAGTATAATTTTTTGATAATACTAGTAGCTATTACAGCTTATATAAATACCAAATATACGGTATATATTTAGCGAGCTTTAGTAATCTACTTTATTTGATCTGTATGTTTACTGTTTTGAAAAGAGATGATTGTGTTGTACATGTTGGGCCAATTATAATACAAGTAAGAGTTTTTCACCTTACATAATTAGGTCCTAATAAAGTAGTAAAGATGGCATTAGATCGTGTCGAGCCATGCCACGTGTATAAGATCAGGATTTTGTTGGCTATACCCAACTTACTAGTCACATGTTGTGTCATCCGATTTCTAGCTAGGATAAAGTTTAATTTTTACATGTTTTATCACGTCAGAGCTTTCTTTTCAACAAAAAGAAAGCTGATTTTGATACATCTATTATTATATTGATATTGGCACACCTTCATGTGAGAGAGGTATAGAAAAATGTGCTTTCACAATGGGTGTGCCTAAATCACTTTTTGGTGTGCTAAAATCATTTCCCCTATATCTAATATCACAAAAAAGTCTTAGGAACAAATTGGATCAGAATCTAATGATGGTCCATGCTAATTAACTCGCATTCAAGAGAATACCTAAATAAATGTACACCGGCCACACTGACCAGCAGATCGCCTCTCAACTCCAAACTCTACGGGCTACGTCCTACGGGTGTATGGTAAATATACTTAAAAACCGATATCGTCCAATTGTGTGCGTTGCACATAAACAAGGTTTAATCTATGTGCTATGGATGGCTATAAAAATGATATATGTATGATATAATAGCTTAATACTCCCAGGCTCCCAGCAAAGTAAGTTGAAAAGATTAAAATTCAATGTATAGGTGATAGATTTGAACATGTAAAGTTGTAATCTTGTACTTGTAATAAACTAGTCGTATTATTTATGACCTCCGATGACCAGCTACTTGATTTTGGATTGATGACTCATGTAATCATGTGCACACTTCTTGCCTACTCGTATATTATTGAATATGAAATATTAATTTATTAATTATATCCAACTTTTAAAGTCTTAATTTATAAGTATTTTTCTTTATAACACTGACAATATTACATTCATAATCGATAATTGTAGAGAATTTAAAGATTAAAAGGTGTAACTAAAAACCCTGTTTGATTTGATGTAAAACATTTTTAATAAAATTGTAAAGGCATATTTTCAAGCGGGGTCAAAACCAAGAAACACTAACATAAAACAAAGATCAAAATCTCAACCTCCTTTGGTTTCCATGTTCTCCTTCTTCCTTCATTCAGCTAATCTTATTGTTAGGACTGTCAGCTTCCAACTTCAAAGACATTCTACAACTGAATTAACTTTTCAAGTTGCAGAATTTTTTTTTGATTCTTTAGAAAAATAAAGGTGTTTCCCCATACTCTTAGATAAAGCAAGGAATTTCTAGTATTTATACAAACATTATTAGATAATTAAATGTTCGATCAGGTAATTATTTAGGTAGTGGTTAATGGTAATGGTGGTGGTAAGACTGGTAACGTTTGGACATCATTAAAAAAATAAACATAGTCCTCCCATATTTTTTTAAATGCATCATTTGCATTTATATGGAGTTTTAGGAGTATTTATATGCTCTAAGCCTCTAATTTTATATTGTGTAAGTTATGTAAGTGATGGTTAATTTATTTTGATAAAAGTACATTACGGATCATGAAAGAGATAGTATGTGAAATTGGAGTCTTTTAATCATTTAATTAAGTAGCTAGGGAACATGAAAAATAGAGAAATGATAAAATATTTTGTACTCGTATGAGGTTTTAGAGAAGCGAGAAATAATACAATATAATGTAAAGCTACAAAATATAAAAGTGTTGCTTTCAAAAAAAAAAAAAGAAAAAGAAAAAAAAAAGGTGATGCATTAAAAAAAATATATAGGGAGTATTATCAGTTCAAAGGTATAATACCAAATAACGTCTATTAAATTATACTCGTACTTTATATTACCATTTAAAAACATATACGTTAAAAGAATTTATTTCCTTTCCTTTCTCTCCTCCTCTCTTTTAGGGTTTCTCCAAATTATTGGCTGTTTAGGCCGAAAATAGTCTAATTTCACTATTTTCGACCCTTTTCCCTAAGTTTTCTTTAGTTTTGCAATTTAGTTTTCAATAATTCTACAAGAGTAGTGTAGATATTCGTCTCCCTATGGTGGAGTCGTTAGTTTTTGTTAGTTTTGTTGTTTGTTTTTGTTTAGGGTTTTTTTTTGTGTGTGTGTGTTAGGGTTTATTAAAAAGGTAATCATTTTTTGCCCAATTATCAGTTCGTTGGTAAAGAGTCGTCCGGAATCGCAACGGTTGTCAAATCTTTAGAGGCGTTCAAGTGAATCAGATGAAAATTATCCTTATGGCTACAACAAATCGTTAGACTGTCTCTCCGAAAAGGCCGTATATTCCAGCGATGTCTGCGATAAATGTACCACAGTGCAAGATACATTCAACGATCGTAACTTTGATTAAGGAAACCATTATTTGATTCAATTTTATGTATTTGTTGATTTAGATTTCATTTGTAGATGGCGTATGACTTTTGATAATGAATTGATTTGTTTAAAAAAAAAATTTCAAAAAGATTAAAAAACGTATACGAAATACATAACTTATTGTATTTTTATACTCCAATAATTATTTTGTCAAATATTAATACTATCAACAACTAGTTTAATAGCTACTGAGTGAATATCACAGCCACACGCTGCTCAACCGTTTAAGGTACCTTTAACATGTCCACTCTCAAACAATGATGTACCATGTCGTATAAATACAACAATCCAATTTTGCAATTTGCAATAATGTTTGGATATTGGATTTAGCTTTTAGCCATCTTCCAAGTTCCAACCTTTGAAAGAAAATCCTAGAATTTCATTTTTAATTCCATTTTATCTTGACTTCAATTTTTAATTTTATTTCTAAAACGCACATTTTCCAGAATCTTCCACCTCATGATCCTCTCTCCCTAATCACCGCCTTCACAAGAACGGTAGAAGTTGAAGACTTCTCAAGAACTTTCGTTTCACTTTCTCTCTCCTTAAAACGCACCAAATTCTCTCTAATTTTACAGAAAACCCAAACCCAAGTACCCAGGAAAGCCCAGAACCCCTGATTTTCTCTCTCATCTAAATCTAAAGCAAGCAAGAAGTTAGAAATCATGTGGCAACCTAGGAAAAATGATCTTGAAGGAGGATCACAACAACTTTACCCTGTGATGCTTGAAGACCCAACGCTTCGATGGAGTTTTATTCGAAAAGTTTACTCAATCATCGCAGTTCAATTGCTTGCTACCGTTGTTGTTGGTGCTATTGTTGTTTCGTATAAACCAATTGCTCATTTCTTTACTTCTAGTAGTGGTGGTCTCGCTTGTTATATCATTCTCATCATCACCCCTTTTATTGGTAATTTTTGTTCTCCCTTTTAATAATTTTCCGAGTTATTTGTGATTTTTTTTGTTGGAATCTGATTGTATTGTTGGTGAATTGAACTGGGTATTTGTTTGAGATTCTGGGGTTCGTTTGATTTTTTTTTTTTTGTTGGGGGATTGAATTGGGTTAATTGCTGTTAATTTTTCGTATGGTTTTGGTTGACTTATTAAAGAAGTTAAATGGAATTGGCATTGGCATCGGCATCATTTCTTATATTTCGTTGGAATGCTAGACTAATTGTTGGATAATAATTCGTGGGTTGATTAGCATTTTTAGTAATTTTGTTGCAGATGAATTGGGTGGGGAATTGTATGACAATTGATGTATTTTATGTTTCTCTAAGTTGGAAATGTGCTTATTTTGATGATTTTGCTAAATGATTGCTTATTTTAGTTGATATATTGTGAATTTTAGTTGATGGTTTGGCTGGGAATGCGGTTATTATGATGATTTTATCAATTAATTACTCATTTTATTGTTGAAGAACTGTTTAGAATGTTAGACTTTCACGGTGTGGCTAATTTTGTGTGATTATTGTGTTGTAGTGCTATGTCCATTGTACTACTATCATCAAAGTCATCCGGTGAATTATCTGCTGCTTGGGATCTTCACTATCTCACTTGCCTTTTCCATTGGCCTGACATGTGCATTCACTAGTGGTAAGTTCTCCTTGCTCGTTTTGTTTATTGTTTCGTATAGTTTCATTTATAATAGTTTTCGTTCTGCCATTGATGAGAAATGAACTTTGATTGAAACGAAATTGACAATATTTCCCCCTTGATGTTATGTGGTTTTTTCTGATCGAAGTTGCCTTTGTTTGAGTATCTTTAGTAGGTTAAGTTTGTGGTAATCATGGATGACTTTCTTGCAAGCAACCATTATTAATTATTCTTTGCTGTCTTGATAATTCAATGTACCCCGTTGCACAGTTTTGAGAATCTGATACTGGGATTTGGGAAAAGTAAATGTGAAATTTTCAATTAGATGAACATGTAGACAGCATATATACCCTCACATTGCTACTTACTACTGTCCAAGTGAATAGCTTAGTGTACAAACCTAACTTGCTGGTACTATAACATGTAAACCGATGTTTTGGCATGGTATCTTAGTAATGCTTACACTGTAAAGTACAGCATGTGTGGTTCTGGTCTACATTGAAAGAAGTGATGACATAAAAAATATAGGAGGTTTCCATGGGACAGAGTTTAATGCTGAAGACTGTGAATGAATGTGCTAGCTGCCAACCTTTTTACCAGACTTATGTTTGTCGCCGTTTTGTCTAAGTTATTGTCTTTCTTATCTAAATTCAATTTGGCAATCTGTTCTGGTTGTGGCGAACTTACCTTCTGAATAGGTTATTGCATGATGTAAGAAACTAGCTTAATTTGGCACGTTTGCACTCACTGAGTCACTGACACTTTTAAAATGGACAGGGAAAGTTATTTTGGAGTCTGTGATTTTGACGACTGCAGTGGTTCTAAGTCTCACTGCGTACACATTCTGGGCGGCAAAGAGAGGCCATGACTTCAATTTCCTTGGTCCCTTCTTGTTCGGGGCTTTGATTGTGCTGATCATATTCTCTTTAATACAGGTAGAGTGCCTTTCAGCTGCTCCTCTTCTTCTTCTTCTTTTATTTTTTTATTTTTTTTATTTAAAAAAAATCTTTCCAATGTTTGTTTGTTCAACATTCTGAAAATGCTAAATTCTATATTTACAGATATTCTTTCCATTGGGCAAGATTGGTGTGATGATCTATGGTTGTGTGGCATCCATCATCTTCTGTGGCTACATCGTTTATGACACAGACAACCTCATCAAGCGATACACCTATGATGAGTATATATGGGCTGCTGTGGCATTGTATCTTGATATTATCAACCTCTTCCTTTCTCTGCTAACAGTTTTCAGAGCTGCTGACAGTTAGGCGAGAGGAACTTCAAACTTTTGCCATTGTGTCCATAATCAAAACCATGTTAAGAAAAAAAAAAAAAAAAAAAAAATTTGTTAACCACTTTATAAGTACATAGATATTTTGTTATTCTAGCAGGAGAAAAATTGTACACGAATTTCTTTTCCAATTTATACTGTTTTCATTTTAGCCCGGGTTGTATGAAATGCATTTAATTGTGAAGCAAGGTCATCTTTTGCCTTTTTGATGCATTGTGTTAACCTTTAGGCCTTTCTTACAAAGGAAAGGGCATTAATAAAGGATGTATTTTGTCGATGTCGATGTCGATAATGCCAGATTTGGTAGATGGTGTCACTGAAAGGGAAAGGCTGTTAAACAATTGCTAGCAGCCTATCACCGAGTGATTTTTTATGCTTTTACTCAAACAAAAGGACTGCAGAAGTTTCCTTCCAGCTAACCAAGTTATTCTCAATTGTCGTATGATTCTGTCCCTGTGTGAATTAGATATGCTTGCAAATTGTGAACTATAAGAGAGGAACAGTTAGTTACAGAAACATTATGCCTAGTTCAAGGCAAGTAATCAATGAGTAAAGCAAGGTTTTCGAGATAGCTTGATTGTTAGTAGAAGTATCAAGATATACTTCTAAATTTTAATTACTTGGGTGTTACTTCAGGAGGAGGATTTCTTCATTTATGGCACAAATCGTCCTTAGGTTATTGGTACCTTATAATGAGGAATGACATTGGCCTAGAAGTCTCTTCTACTGAACATGAGAGGTGTGCAACAAACCCGATAGTTTTTTCTTAGCTTTTTACATATTAGACTACAATGCATACTTCTCACAAGTATTTCATAATGTGAGCAAATCTAAGTACTCGTACTAGGTATAATAATTAGTGTTTTACTTCTTTATAAAATCTCTTGAAGTCGAACTTTAAGCTAAATTAAACTTGAAAATTTCGAGCTCAAAAAAACAAAGCAACACTCAACTCAAGCTCATATGTGAGTGGTATGAGTATGAACAATACCAAGCTCAAAAACCACCCTTTCCTCATGGTACTGTGTAACTTTAGAGACAAATATCAAAATATGGACACAGAGATTGTATTTGAAACTTTAGCTACATAGGATTTATAAAGAGCTAAGGGTACCTCAAAATTCGTCCTTTGCCTTCCCATAAGACTTAAAGCCTTCATACATTTATGAACACCATATCAACAAAACGAAGCAAAAAAGATCTGACCAAAACAGCTTACTCTATATCTGTATTAGCTCTCATACTTTAAGTCCATTCGTCTAATTCCAGTAAATATTGTTTCTTGGACACGCGTTGGTTTTCTTCTTTTCATTAACCAAGGAGAGCAGCCTTGAGACACCCTGAGTCCAAACATCATACTCCTGCTGACTCTTGCACTCAAACTCGATTACTCTATGTGTGGCCGTCTTTAGCCCAAAGTAACGTCGTTTTTCTCCTCCAGTTTCAATGAACCGCCTCTCTGGCCATACTGGCAAGTCTTTGCAAACTTCCATCAGTATCTCTGTCACAAATTACACAATAAATCTCATCATTAATTAGTGATTCACCAGACATCCAAATTCACTTGCCAGTACTATCAAAATTCATAAGTTTTGACTTCTGCAATAAATTTAAAATTAGAGGAATATGCAGAGCACTGATAGGGAGAAAGAGAATGGCGAAGTACTTTTTTTCTTCTTGGTGATTCCTGTTACATGTCTACTCTTCATTTTGAGCACAACCTGCATGACAAGAGAAAAATGGTTAGGAAAATGACTAACAAGTAGAAGAAAATGGTATACAAGTGGGTGGGTTTTGAAAGAACGTAACCTGGATTGTTTTGTCGATGTATACTGAGACGACTTTCCAGTGAAGATCACCTGGTAAAACAAATGAAATAATTCAATCAATAATTATTTTTACTAATAGGCTTTGATTAAATCTAGCCAGAGAAGCTGAAATTACCAGTTCGAGTGCGTTTAAGAAGCTCGGAGCCCCTGGCAAGTAGTTCTTCATTACATAAACCAAGAAAGTTTTCACCTTGTAGATCAGGCTCGCCATTGTAGCTACCATTTCGACTGTGCCTATTCTCACCTTTTATACCTTTCTCGACGGGTAAGACAGCTGCTATATTACATACTTCTTTCATTGTCCTTGCCTTCAGAGTTGCTGCCCCTCTTAAAGCTGCATTATGCATATAGGATGTAATGATTTGTAAAAAGCAATCTCCTCATAGAATATGCACTTGTACAGTTCTACACACATACACTCTGTATAATGTTATTTCAAAATTATCGTTGCTACAGTATAAGGTAATACCCCTTTATCCTAACTATCAAGCCACAGTTGTTTAGGCCATTCCAAAACAATAGGCCTCGGTTGACAAAATGACTTCCTAAAGTGATTATATGCATTCCATTATTTTTCCATGACACTGATTTTAGCAAATGTGATATTGAAATCTATCTGTAATTATTTCAATTTGTCAATTGCTATAAACATTAAATGATCACATCAATTTCCCACGCATTAAATCTCTTTTTCCAAGTTACACTCCAATGCAGACAATGGGTTAACAGAATTTGTAGGAATAAAGAACAGAAACTCTAACCTGTTGCAGCAGCAGCAGTGAGAGTCATGATATCACCATGGGATTGAACATTAACAGCAGAACTAATTACAGTAGCTAACTGTTCTCTCTCTGCACCCATTGCCTCAGCAGCCTCCACACACCGTGCAGCCACCAAAGTAGCGGCTGAAGCCATTGCCATGTCTGTCTGCTCTGCCTGTTCATCCTTCCCAGATGATCCAGATGCTGCAGCAGTCGCAGCTGCAGTTGCTGCCACTGCTGCAGCAACTGCAGCCACAGAAATTGCTGCATGGAGCTGTGCATTGTGCACTCGCAGCTCCTCTTTCTTTTTCTCACGCCTCTCCTTCAGCCACCTCCCAACTGTCTTACCCCCAACAGAACCGCCAGCACAAGGAGTGGTTCCACCACTTCTAGGACCCACACGGATGGGAGGTAATAGAGGTTGTGGGGTACTGCTGGTACTCAGGTACTGCAAACATTGGAAAACAGTAGTCACAAGGTTTAGCAAGCCACACCATTTGCTTTACACAAATATATTTATGGCAAGTGAAAGTTCACAATAATAGGGACATGGAGAGTAGAAACAAGTCAAAATGGCGTGTCCAGCACTTGCATTTCTTAAACAACGAGGTAGTCCTCTCTATACATTGGAGGCCTTTACTTCATTTTTGGAATCAAAAACAAAATGAAATGATCAAGTTTATAGCATTTGTTCTTTCTAACACGAAGTACTCCAGATATCATAACTTAAGGCATCAGGTCTAATAACAAAAAATGTCAAAAACTTGAAATGTCCCTTAGGAGAGGGGGGGGGGGGGGAGGGATAGGGGAGAAGGCATCACATGCTAGTCACATGAATACTTTCCTTTATAGCAAACCTTTAATAAAGAAGGTTTTGTAAAAGCTCTTTGGATATGAGTCAATAACATCAAAATTTAAAGGGTAACGCTTTCTTTTACTTTTTTTTTCTTTTTTCTTGGTTTAGGAATGGTGTCACTTTCTATTTACCATATAAAAAAAAGTAATTTTATAGCAAAGATAGCAGAAATTGTTCAAATGAAGATTGGACTTTAGATAGTTCAAATTTGCACATTACTTAAAAGCCAAGACTAATGAGAGAAGCACTACTAAAGTACTTACTAAACTACACTACCAAGATCCCAAAAGAGACAAAAAGTAATGGCCTATATTAAATAAGACAATAAATAGATAGTTTCCAGTTGGGCACTTGGGGTGATTTTCTAGTTTAATCATGTCAAAATCATTTCTCAACTACTCAGATAATAAAATTACATGAAAGGAGGGGGGTGTTTGTTTTGGGTAGTATGAATGAATTGCGTACGTTAACAAAAACCTATGCAAATCTTACGCTCATAGTTATGAAATTGTTGCACACACTTTGTCGCACTAAGATTGTCACAGACTCAGTAATTTGCTTATTTTAGAGTTGATTAATCGAAATCACACAAAATACAAGGTATTAAATTTTTATTACACTTCAAATCTAATTAAATACAAAGTACTCGTACAATTTTCATTATACACTCGAACCCAATCTGAATTTCACCTTGTGAAAAGGGTAAAATTTGGGGACATGGTAACTTCCAAAAGCCAGTTTTCAGAAAACCAGTCAGTGATATGCTACAAGTACCTTGCACAGACTTCCTACAATAAGTGCATCCAGGAAAGAGTAAAAAAGCTGACAGTAAAATATGGGCTGTAAAATATTCGAGCATTCAGAACATGCTAAAATTTTCACCTATAGATCTAGTAAGAAAGAGAAACATTTCAGCTAAAAAATAAAAAATAAACCCAACAACATTTCCCCAACTACTTTGGTTGGTTGATCTTATTAAGACTTTTTATTGGCACCATTAAACTGTTATCTAAGTATTATTTTTTTTTTACTTTTTTTATTTTTTATCATCATCGTTATAAATAAATAAAAACAGGCGAAAATCCTTTCAGAAAAAAAAAAAGAGATAACAAAAAAAAAAAAAAAAAAAATGGCGCACCCAATCGCAGAAGCGAACGAGAAGAGCCCTTTCGGCTCACTTTCACCGGACGAATTCTACGCAAAGCACTCAGTGAGCCACTCATCCGAGTACATCACCAATTCACGAGGTATGAAGCTTTTCACCCAATGGTGGACCCCACTTCACGGTGAAAAACTCGGGTTAATCTGCGTCGTCCATGGCTACACTGGCGAGTCAAGCTGGACCGTCCAACTCACCTCCATCCACTTTGCAAAAGCCGGTTTTATTGTTTGCGCGATTGACCACCAGGGTCATGGCTACTCCGACGCGCTTGATGGGTACGTGGCTCACATCCCCGATATCGGACCCGTGGTTGATGATTGCATTTCGTTCTTTGATGCGTTTCGTGAGAGACACGCGCCGGGGTTGAAGGCGTTTATGTACGCGGAATCTCTTGGAGGGGCGATTGCGTTGTTGATTACTTTGAGGAAGAAGCGCGTGGGAAAGAGTGGTGGGGGGTTTGATGGGTTAGTGTTTGTTTGGGTCCAATTTAGTCAAAATTGGGCCGGAGCATTAAATGATCCAATTAAAAGCCCAAGGTCAAGGTTCAACTCTCCAATTGCTCAAAAGTCAAAAGTCAGCCCACAAAGTAAGCCAATTGGGCAAAAGCCCAACCTCTCCAAATATGATGAGGTATAAAAGCCCTCATATTAACACATTCAAGGGGACATCTCATAACATCATATACACTATCAGACACAACAACACAGGCATCATCACATACATTATCTCATACACGGATTATTCCAACTCATATGCTCATTCTTGCATTGAGAAATACTCCACAAAAGCCTCAAGCTACAAACTCTCTTGCATAGTGTCTTCCTTTTTACACATTGTACTGACTTTAGCATCGGAGGGGCCTTCCTCGGAAACACCCCCGAGGCTAGTTTACGTGTGTTCACTGTGCAGGAAACCTTCGGCCCAACACAGCTTGGATCGAATCCAGTCTTCTCCATTTTAGTGGACCTTCGGCAAGGTCCCATTGTTTTCAACCGAAACAATTTGGCGCCGTCTGTGGGGAAGACTTTCAAAAATCTTTAAGCCAAATTCCTAACCAAGATCATCTTGCAATTATCTTAGCAGCCATGGCTAAGAACCGCAAGAGCAAAAGCCTCCGTCAAGGAGCGGGCGAAAAGCCTAAAACCCCTACACCATCGCCCTCGCCGGACCGGAACTCTCCCAAGGGTGCCGGCTCGGGGGGAGGATCACACAAGGAGGATTCCCTATCTCCTATAATGCATGACTCTCAATATAGGCCGGACCACTCTCGGTCTAGCAGGGGTCAGTCTGATCATAGGACATATTCAGTGTCCCAAAGCCAACCATCGGCTGCACGGCCTCATTACCACACTCGGCCGGGGACCCCTTTGACGGGGCCCAGTTCGGAGGAGGTGGCAAGAGCGCTGGCAGTACTCATGGAGGCAATGAGGGCACAGAATATGCCACCGCCTCGTGATCGAACTCCTCCGCATACCCGGCATCAGCGGAGGAAGTTAGACCATGACGGTGGGAAGCTTCCTTCCTTCCGGGAACTGGAAGAGTGGGAGGAGGATTCTTGGAAAAATGAAAAACAGAGGAAGAAGAACTCTCAATTATTTAAAGGATCCTCATCCTCAAGACCAGCAGCGCATAAGAGCAGCAGCTCAGCTTCTCGGCCAGAATCTGCTCGCCGGGAACCCGAGACTGCTCGCAGAAGCGTCCTTGACCGACTCGGCGGCCAGGAACCGAGCGTGCGTAGTCGCCTCACGTTCCCTGCAGCCGAGGCCCAGACTTCCCAGCCAGGGACGAAAACCACTCCTACCTCTCTGAGAGGGCGGAGCGCGGTCCCTTCGGCCAGGAACAAGGGCAAGGCCATTATGCTTCCCGCTAGTTCACCATTCGAGCAATGGATACTAGAAGAGCGCGTACCCACGGTTAAAATACCGTCGCATATCACATATGACGGGACCACGGATCCGAAGGACCACGTGGCCTCGTATGAGACTCATATGCATCTTTGCCCCAGATCCGAGGCGACTTGGTGCAAATATTTCCCAACCACTCTCAAGGGGGTCGCGCAAGCGTGGATCTCCAAGGGAGTAAGGCAAGGCTCCATAACAGGTTGGGATGATCTGTCCTCCAAGTTCAGAAGCAAGTTTTCCACGGCAAACCGCCGAGAGAAGACTACCGCAGAGCTCATGGGTCTGCAACAGGGGGAAACTGAAAGCCTCCGAGACTACCTGACCCGTTTCAGTAACGAGTCATCAAGCGTCTCTCAGCTGGACCAGGGGCTAGCTGTTTTTGCAATGCAGAATGGCCTTCAGCCAGGAAAATTCCTAGACTTCATGGTCATGCAAACCCCGCAGACCTTGGAGGAAGCTCTTAGTGCTTCGGATAAGTTCATCCGAGCCGAAGAATGGAATAAAGCAAAAACCCAACCTCAATCCGGGGGAGGGAAACAGAGGCAAATACCCTTGTCTGAAGGCCGAGGCCATAAGGCAAAGGGAAAATCAAAGGCCTCGGAACCATCTTCGGCCAGCGACCTAAAGAAGGACAGGTTTGCCTCATACACAGGCAGATACGAGTCCTACACTCCGCTCTCTCTTCCACGCGCCAAAATTTACAGTGTGACGAAGGAGGAGCAGAGTTACCGAAAGCCGAAACCACTCCCAGAGTGGTATCAGCAAAAAAATAAAAATCAGTGGTGTGAGTTCCACGAGTCTTCGGGCCACAACACTGAAGAGTGTATCCAGCTGAAGGACCAGATAGAAGACATGGTCCGGAAGGGATACTTGAAAAAATACATCGCGGATCACCGCGAGAAAAAAGAATCCGAGAGGTTAGCAAAGGACTCTCGGCAGGACCTTGATTTCCCCCGGAAAAACAGTAAAAAACCGGAGGGGAAATTCCCTCCGATCAATGTTATCTCGGGAGGAATATACTCTCGGAGGGAGCACAAGCGTCACCTTAGAGCTTTGACTCACCAGGTGAACAACGCTGACATTCAATCTCCCCAGTCGCCGGTGCCGAACATGACGTTCACAGCCGCCGACTGCCGGGGGATTACGTTCCCTCACGAGGATCCGTTGGTGATCATCGCCACGGTGGCCAACCACGACGTCAGTAAGGTCCTTGTTGACGGTGGCAGCGGAGCAAACATTCTGTTCCGAAAGGCCTACAACCAAATTAAGCTGAAGCCCAAGCACCTTACGCCGGTACCCTATCCGGTATCCGGGTTCAATGGGGCTTCAACTTATCCAGATGGGAAGGTGACACTTCCTGTCACCATCGGTTGCGATGAGGCAGCCCGGAACGTCATGATTGAGTTTTTGGTCATCGACGCTCCTTCAGTGTACAACGTGATTTTGGGGAGACCCATAATTCACGAGATCCAAGGGGTCGTCTCAACTTATCATCAGCTGATGATTTACGTCTCAGACGCCGGCTTCCCCGAAAGGATACAGGGCAACCAGAAGGACGCCCGAAGGTGCAACTACCTCAAGCCATCCAGTAGTCGCCCAGATAACGACAAGGATGAGGAGGAGAAAGAAAAAGAAAGAGAGCCGAGCACAAAAAAGCCGAAAGGCCTAAGTGCTTCGGCCCAAGGATCAGTGCCCAGAGAAAAAGGTCCCGAAAGGGAAAAGGTTGACTCTTCATCTGAGCCGAAAGACTCAGAGAGCCAGCCGAAGAACACAAAGACTGGGACACCTGCTGACATTGGCAGCAGACCAGATTCTGAAGAGTCCAGTCCATCGGCAATGGACATGGACCAACAGACTGAAACAGTTGAGTTGGCCGAAGGAGATGCTGAGAAATGTGTAACAATCGGGATGGACCTTGATCCTGACACCCGTTGTGAACTTATTCAGCTCCTTCGGGATAACAGAGATGTGTTTGCTTTCTCGGCAGCTGATATGCCCGGGATAAGTTCAGACCTCATCTCCCACAAGCTTAATGTTGACCCAGCGTGTCGACCAGTTAAGCAAAAGAAGCGGAATTACTCCGCCAATAAGAACCGAGACATCGCAGCCGAAGTCAAAAAATTATTGGAGGCAGGATTCATTGAACCTTGCCAATATCCGGAATGGCTGGCAAATGTGGTGATGGTTCAGAAGCCCAATGGTACCTGGAGGATGTGCGTTGACTTCACGGACCTAAATAAGGCTTGCCCAAAGGATTTCTATCCCTTGCCAAGAATCGATCAGCTAGTCGATTCGACAAGTGGCCATGCCTTGCTTAGTTTCATGGACGCATTCTCAGGGTATCATCAGATCTTCATGCACCCCGACGATCGAGCAAAGACAGCATTCGTCACGAACGCTGGGGTGTATAATTACAAAATGATGCCCTTCGGATTGAAAAATGCGGGGGCAACCTATCAAAGGCTGGTGGATCAAGTTTTCGCCGATCAAAAGGGCCGAAACATGGAAGTCTATGTTGACGATTCAATCGTCAAAAGCAAAAAACTAGAGGACCATGTAAAGGACCTGGCTGAAACTTTCGCCACCTTGAGAAAGCATCAAATGAAGCTGAATCCGAAGAAGTGTGTCTTCGGCGTGAAGTCAGGGAAATTCCTGGGTTTCATGGTCAGCAAAAGGGGGATTGATGCCAATCCCTCTAAAGTCAAAGCGGCGTTCGACCTTCCTGAGCCAAAAACGAAGAGGGATGTTCAGCGGCTCACCGGAAGAATGGCAGCCCTTTCGAGGTTCATTTCTAGAGCTTCGGATAAGGGGTTACCCTTCTTCAAAGCCCTGAAACTCCCGAAAACAAAAGAGCTTGTTTGGGAGGAAGAGCAAAAAGACGCCTTTCAACAGCTTCGGGAGCATCTGGCTCAACTCCCAACGCTGGCTAGCCCAGTTGAAGGAGAAACTCTATACCTATATGTGGCCGTTAGCCCGGCCACCATCAGCGCAGTATTGCTGAGGGAAGAGAGTAAGAGTCAGCAACCGATTTATTTCGTCAGTCATACACTGACGGATGCCGAGACCCGCTATCCTCTACTCGAGAAAGTTGCTTTCGCGGTAGTAGTAGCTGCTCGGAAGCTGAGGCCCTATTTTGATTGCCATCAGATAGTGGTCTTAACTGATCAGCCATTGGAAAAAGTTCTTGGCAAGGTTGAAAAATCCGGTAGGCTAGCCAAGTGGGCTTTTGAGCTCACCGAATTCAGCATCAGCTACCGTCCGAGGGCTGCCATTAAGGCTCAAGCCCTGGCGGATTTCTTGGCCGAATGCTCATACCAAGAAGTGCTGGACAGTGAAAAGAAAGTCTGGACCGTGTTTACGGATGGGTCTTCCACCGAAAACGGTTCGGGGGCAGGAGTAGTGATAACTTCTCCCGAAGGCAAATCCTTTGAGTATGCACTAAAATTTTCTTTTAAGGCCTCGAACAATGAAGCCGAATATGAGGCAGCAATCGCCGGCCTACAATTGTGCATCTCCTTGGAAGCCGATCATGTCTGCTTAAAAACAGACTCTCAGCTAGTTGCATA